TCAGTGAGCCGAGATCACACCATTGCACTCCAGCCTGGGTGAAACAGCGAGACTCTGTCTCAAAAAAAAAAAAAAAAAAAGAAAAGAGAAAGTATGATAAACTCAGCTGAAAAGCTTCTGCATATATGTGTACAAAGGACTTTTTTTTTTTGGTACAAACTACAACTGTATGAGAGAGAAAATGGGATGATTTCAACATTTCTGATCTAAGTAAAGACAGCATCAGTAAGATATGAGATTATTAGTTTAGGTACCAAACAGAAGAAATCTGAAGTCTGTAAATATATAACTGAAAAAAGACGACTTTATGTTCATTTATACATTTTGGCCCGTGCTATAATACCTAGGGGAAAAAAAAGTTTTACTTGATTTCACATGGCAAATAATGGGAAATAGAAGTGCTTCAATTTAAAGTCTTTAAGTAATTAAAAAATAATGAAGAGTGCTTTATTTATTTATTTTGATACGGAGTTTTGCTCTTATTGCCCAGGCTAGAGTGCAGTGGCGCAAGCTCAGTTCACGGCAACCTCCGCCCTCCGGTTTCAAGTAATTCTCCTGCCTCAGCCTCCCAAGTTGCACGGTGGCGCCCGCCACCACGCCCAGCTAATTTTTTTTTCTATTTTTAGTAGAGACGGGGTTTCACCATGTTGGTCAGGCTGGTCTCAAACTACTGACCTCATGATCCACCTGCCTCGGCCTTCCAAAGTGCTAGGATTACAGGCGTGAGCCACTGCGCCCGGCCTGAAGAGTGCTTTATTTTTATTTATTTTTTGAGACAGTGTCTCATTCTGTCACCTAGGCTGGAGTGCAGTGGTACGATCATGGCTAACTGCAGCCCTGACCTTCTGGGCTCAAGCAATCCCTCCCCTCAGCCTCCTGAGTAGCTGGGACTACAGGCATGTGCCACCATGCCCAGCTAATTTTTTTTGTAGAAATGAGGTCTCACTATGTTACCCATACTGGTCTCAAACTCCAGGGCTCAACTGATCCTCCTGCCTTGGCCTCCCAAAGTGCTGGGATTACAGGTGTGAGCCATTGCTCTTGGCTACAGTGCTTTAAAGTCAAATGTTCTGAATACACATACATCAATTGAAGGCTCTGCTGGGTTAAAGTTAAATTACTAATAGAAAATAATCTGTTAATTTCTTTGATCTATACATTGCACCTAACTGGCATTATTATTTTGGAGATTTTTCCACCATTAGGATAGATATGGATACTGCTCTTAGGGGCTTAAATAAAACGCACATTTAAAAAAAAAAGACTTGCATTATGAAAAATGGGTTAAAGCCCAAAGCTGAAAATTATAGTCCAGCTACTCAAAAAAGTAGCAAGAATTCTTCATTTATAAGACATGGACTAGCTGAACCAAATGATTTTAAAGATGCCTTCTAGCTTTGTGACCATATGATTTAGCATTAATTAAAAGTGATATTACCCAATTTAGTGGTTTCCAGCCTCAGGAACTGTCAAGGATGGGGTGCTCAAATGTCAGGAGCCAAGGCTCTGGTAGCAACACCCCATCTCTGCCAGAACAATCAATGCAGTTTCCTACTATCCTGTTCTGAGGTCTAAGATTTTTGTTAGAGAAAAGGGGACTTCTTACCCAATATATGGCAAGCAAAACAAAACAACAACAAAAAAGGGCAATTATGATGCTTAAATAAAAGGTCTGAAAAACTAACCCCTAGATACAATAGAAAACATTATCAGCCAATCATAATATACAGTTTTTTAGTATATTATACTAAAATATATGTGTGTGTATATTATACACACATACACACATATATACACATACACACACATGTATATATGCACATATACACACACATACACTTTTGTAGAGACAGGGTCTTGCTATGTTGACCAGGCTGGCCTCAAATTCCTGGCCTCAAGCCATCTTCCTACCTTGGCCTCCCAAAGTGTTGGGATTACAGGTGTAAGCCATTATGCCCAGCCTAAGTAGATATACTAAGTGACAACTGGGACTTGATTTCCATTGCTGATTATAAAAAAAAAAAATTGTACGATACTGTTGTAATTGAGTGACTGAGTATAAGACACTATGAATAGTTACAGGAATTATCAAAAAGGATATAGTCCTATGATCTACTCTGTAGAAAGTTCATTCTCAGAAGCTTATAGACAGACCATGGAAAGAATCATATTCTTGAAATTCTATGATTTTAGAACTAATCACAATAATATCTAAGTGCTAGAAAATAGAAAGTATTTATCTGGGATTCTTATTCTAGAAGAGGTTGGGTTAAGTTAAAGAAGCCAGGGCTCTGACAGCGCCCCCATCCCAATTCCTGATGCAATCACGACAGCTCCGCTTCCGTGTTACATGTTACTTGCTGGGTGTTCTTTCGTAAACTGTGCTTGAAAAATAATCCCCTAGGAGCAGGAAAAGCTCCCAACTTGTACTCAAGTATTCAAAGAGAAGGCAGGTGTAGAGTCTGGAACAAAGAGGCCTTCCTGTCTAATAAACCAGTTTCAGAGCAAGTGTCAAGTCTTAGAAGACTTTGATGATACAAGGCAGGATCTTGTACTCTTAGCTCCTGACTATAGGTTTTCTAAAGACAAAGCTAGTAACTCTCCTTAGAGACCCAGAAAACTGTCTCGGAGGGGACAACCAGCAGGAGTCAACTCTAAAGGACAAAATCAAGTGCAGCATGAGGTATGGCCCCCTTAACCAAATGGCTTCAAGTGAATATGCCGGTTAAGGTAAGAGAGCAAGCTCTTTGTACAAAAACATACCGAGGAATTACTAAGACACATTTTTCCTGTTTGATAAGGAGAAGGCAGTAAACAGAGGTAAATGGAACAGGAAGGCACTGGGTCTACATAATTGAGAAACAGATGCCTCACTTCTGAGTGAGAAAGCAGAGGCTCCACATTCTTATCATTAATTGTGTGGTGAGGTTAGCTGCTCGATCCCCTATGATAGAACATTTCAATCTCAAAAAAGGCAGAGTTGAACAAAGTCAATCAAGTTCATTACTACCACAGAGATTTTCTCATAAATAACTTTAATATAATAGTAGAACAATTCAAAGATTTGGACAGAAAATAAAATATGCTTCTGGGGTTGAAATGCTATTCTTTTTAATACCCTGACTACTTACAGAAAACAGTTTTATATGGTTTATAACACAAAAATAGATACAAAGAGAAAGGCCATTCAGAAGGAGACAACGGACAAATGTTTCAGGAATCTGAGGTGAAAGAGTTACTGTAACTAAGAACTTTCTGACCTTCAGGAAAGTAATATACCAAGAGAAGAGAGTTAAAGATTTTCTTTTTAAAGATCTCTCTTTAAAACTGCCATTGCTGTGTACGGAATATTTCTCACAAATATGACACTATTATCAACATTACAGCAAAATAAATCACCTACTTTACACAGAAATAAGATGCCATTTAAGGCAATGTCACTGACTAAGGGCTTCATATTGTATTTTCAAGAATGAGAATTAGCAAATTAATATACTTGACTTTGATCAAACTCCTTTACTAAGGCCATGAATGAGTGAAAATTCACTCAGATTTCTACAACAGGAACCTAAGCTCAGTTTTGTTCACATGTTGTTATCTAAAAATAAAGCCTTAATTTTTTTTTTCTTTTTTTTTTTTAGACTGAGTCTCGCTCTATTGCCCAGGCTGGAGTGCAGTGATGCAATCTTGGCTCACTGCAACCTCTGCCTCCTGGGTTCAAGTGATTCTCGTGCCTCAGCCTCTCGAGTAGCTGGGATTACAGGCGCCCACCATCACCCCTGGCTAATTTTTTTATTTTTAGTAGAAACGGGGTTTCGCCACGTTGGCCAGGCTGGTCTTGAACTGCTGACCTCAGCTGATCCGCCCGCTTCGGCCTCCCAAAGTTCTGGGAGCCACCGTGCCTGGCCTAAAGCCCTAAATTAACAAAATGTTAAGCGCAAACCAAAGTTCATGTATTTTCTAAATTCTCTTTTCTTCTTAAACACGGATAGCAGCAGAAAGGATCTTTAAGTATTAATTAAAGTTGTAGTCAGGTTAAAAAAGTATTGGAGAGAATTAATCAAATCTAAAGGAAAAAATCAAAAGGAAAGAACTTGCCATCAGATATATTTTAAACACAATTCTAAATTATTTTAAATGCTCTGTAACAATCCACTTGCTGAAAAGAAAACCTTTTAAAGGGTTTCTCACGATATATACACAGCACATATTTCAGCTCACAATACTATGTAACTAATAGTTCCTTGTTTTGTGACTTAACATTTGGAGATAAAAAAATTAGAAAAAAGATCCTTCCTCTTCTGAATTATCAGGTCAAACTGCAGATTTAAGTAACATACACAATGAATGGTTTCCGTTAGGTCAAATCGTATGACACTGTCAATATGCATATTTTTGATACACAATACTAGCAATTTCACTTACTTTTATTTTTTGTTGAAAAGAAGTCTCACTATGTAGCCCAGGATGGTCTTGAACTCCTGGCCTCAAGTGATCCTCCTGCCTCATTCTTCCAAGTTGCTAGGAATACAGTTGAGCCACTGTGCCCGGACAAAGTAGCAGTTCAACTTAATATGAACATCTGATGAGGCTGGGTGTGGTGGCTCATACTTGTAATCCCAGCATTTTGGGAGGCAAAGGTGGGAGGACTGCTTGATGCCAGGAGTTTGACACCAGCCTGGGCAACATAGCGAGACCATATCTTTACCAAAAAATTTAAAAAACAAATATATTATAAAAGAAAATTAGTACTTAGAAGACTAGTACTTCTCCCTGTTTAAAATAACTTCAAACTGCAATTTCTTTATAGGAAACTTGTACTTACAAAACTTACATAAGTTCTTTTTAACTATTATTAAGTATAATAATAAAAGAAGGATTTCAATTACAAGGCATAAAAACAAACACCTTCTAAGGATAAGATGCTTAGGTGTTATTGTACCTTCAGATTTAAACAATGACTAAGTACTTCAAAATAAGGTGAGAAATTCTGTACTTACATGTTTAAAACAGGTAACTGGCGCGGCTATAAAGCTATTGCTATTGATGTAGTTACCCCAGCTGAAACCTTCCATGGAGACTGCTAAAATCAAACAAATTTACGTATATTACAATTCTCACATCTTTTATTTATAAGAAGGTTATCACAGTTAAAATGTGTGAAAGGACATTAAAATTAATTTATCCCATTTAAAGAATGTTTTCTTTAAGATCAAATAACTTCTCTAAATAGCATGAGCTTTGGCTTATATCATATTTGCAAACAAACAGGAGTTTCTTTTTTTTTTTTTGAGACTGAGTCTCCCTCTGTCACCCAGGCTGGAGAGCAGTGGCGCAATCTCGGTTCACTGGAACTTCTGATTCCCAGGTTCAAGTGATTCTCCTGCCTCAGCCTCCCGAACATCTGGGACTACAGGTGCGTGCCACCACACCCAGCTAATTTTTGTATTTTTAGTAGAGATGGGGTTTCACCATATTGGCCAGGCTGGTCTTGAACTCGTGATCTCCTGATCCACCTGCCTTGGCCTCCCAACGTGCTGGGATTACACGTATGAGCCACCACGCCTGGCCAGGAGTTTCTTAACTGTTCTATACATGACACATGCTCCTGAGGAAGTGAGGTACAAGCTCTTCAGTTAAGGGGAGCAAAGAGAAGTTGAGAGAAGTGTACAGAATGACAAACACTGCTGTGGCTGCTTTTGTGTTTTTATTTCCATTCAGTTCTTGCCATGTACCTCAGTGAGATACCTACCCCATATCACTTTTAATTACCTCACTTTCTATTTACTTCTATTTACTCACTCATTGCCTCTTCTATTTACTCACTTGTTGCCCTTCTCACTATTTACTCTCTTATTGCTCTCCTCATTACTCACTTATTGCCCTTCTATTTACTCACTTACTGCCTCACTTTCTATTTACTTCTATTAAAAATCTTCTGGCTGGGCGCTGTGGCTCACACCTGTATTCCTAGCACTTTGACAGGCTGAGGTGGGTGGATCATTTGAGGTCTGGAGTTCTAGACCAGCCTGGCCAACATGGTGAAACCCCATCTTCACTAAAAATACAAAAATAAGCTGAGTGTGGTTGCGTGCACCTGTAGTCTCAGCTACTAGGGAGGTTGAGACATGAGAACTGTTTGTACCCATGAGGCAGAGGTTACACTGAGCCGAGATCACGTCACTGGACTCTAGCCTGGGTGACAAAGCAAGACTCTGTCTCCAAAAAAAAAAAAAAAAAAAAAAAAAAACCAAAAAAAAACTCTTATTAGAAATGATCCTTTCCTTAATCTCTTCCTCTTACTACTCCTCTTCTCACAATCCCTTTGAAGCCTGCTGAATGTCCTATTTCTTTGCCTAATATCTTCGCAATTCAGAGAATCAGTACATGGAAAGTAAATAATAAACCAAACAAAAACATTAAGGAGATTGCCAAAAGCACCTGAACTTATGCATGCAACTATAATCTTCTAGAGTAATTTACTGAAATCTAAACAACCATTAGGAAGCTTAGAGCCGTAATGTGCTAAACAGGACATAGAAACAGCTTAAACAGAATTCAAAATTACAATTTAATTAATTACAAAATTAATTAAAACTAAACGAATCAATATCAAATATTTCATCTCTGTCAGATTCACCAATATTACCTGCTTTTGTCTTTGCTTGATTTTGCAAGGTAGCTTGATACTGAGCATATGCGGCTAGCTTAGCAACTAAAGGTTGCTTCTGAAGAACTTTTGCTTTCTTTGTTGGAGGCTTACCCTAAAACAAGAAAAGTTAAGTAAATAGGATTCTTTTTCATCCCCCCACCACCACAATTTAACTGGACTGCATACTACACATTCTGCTTCAGTAAACATTGAGGGTTTAGAAAATTATTAAAGCAGAGGAAACATACAAGAATTTTAACATGAGAATTTTTTTCTGGAGTTCTGCTACAATGTAGTTATCTAATATGGGTAGCAGAGCTGGCATAGACTACAACAGCAATACGCAAATTAATATGTTAATAAAAAATTATATCCCACAAGATGTTAAAATATAGGCTGTGGTGGATACTTGATTCCTTCTTACAGTAGATAGAACCAGTGGTTATTTACTCATGCAGGTTGCCAAGCATTGCTATTTATATGGTAAGAGAAGATAATTTAATGTTCAAAGAGCAAGTGACTGAGGTTTATACCTTTAGTGCTAACGCAAAAGATCAATGACAAAATGATCATGGGCCAAATTCACAGTGTGACAAACTGCCATCCATTTGGGTACAGACCACTGCTCAGGATCTTTAGGTACTGTCTATCTGAAATATAGAAATACATCTAAGTGATGTATTTCCTTAATTTGGAGGATTTAAATAACCCTTTCAGTGCTATATAATGATCACAATAATAAATTAAATGAGAACACTGTGATCATCCAATAAAAATACTGCAAAAATCAGTTAAGTTAATGCCTTTAAAAAGTTGTTTACATGATACAATAGTAAGAACTTAGTCAAACGGTCAAGTCTCCAGTCATTTTGTAGGCACTGATGTACAGTTAAAGCAAGACGATTTTCTTTCCATACCATGAGCGTTGTCAAAAAGGTTAGTTGGATTAACCAAATACATTTGGTCAAGGTATCAAATGGATTGTACTAAAAAGTACAAAGCAAGGAGATGAGAAAATAAAACCAGAGATTAAATTATTTCCCCCCAAATGATGAAAGATTCTACCTTGATGTTAACACAAAAGGAAACAAAGGGAAACAGGAAAATGTCTTCGATTTCTGTATATAAAAAAGTGTTTATACTTATTTGGAAAAAGGATATTTTAATTAACTTATGCAAATAATCATTTATTTTGGATAGTATGTCTTATCCATTTAAAATAGTTTTCCAATTTTATAGGCTGAACAAAGTTTGGGGCTCACATGTTTCCTCAAGATGTGGGTATAAAACAGTAACTGAGTGGGCAGAGGTGAAGTGCAGCGAATCACAGTCAAATGACAGATAAATGGTGAAAGCCATAGAAATAACAGATATAAGTAAGAAGGTTTCTGTACCGTTACCTGAAGTCTGGCCAAAATGCTTGCCTTCTTGGAGTTTGACGAGTAACTTCTTGAACATGAAACGCTACAGAAACGCTTTGTTTTAGAGTAAAAAGCATCTCGGACGCCAACCATCCCACACATCTCACAGGTAGCTAATTAACAAAATAAAAACACTGGCATTATGATATAATAAAAGCAATCTTCATCTAACAGTTTAATTTATCCTGCCATCTGAAAGTTTTAATTTAAAAATTTGCCTTGAACATTTCTTCTATCTTCTATACAAATGATAAAGAAGCCTGCACAGAGAAGTCAGAGAGAACACTGGTATTGTGCCATGGTGATGGGTTCTAGAAGGTCTGATAGTAGCTTGAGGTCTGAAAGGCTTTGCAAAGGGTCAACAGAAACAGGGCAGATATGCTGGATTCAACCGACATTTCCTTAGTGCTTACCATGTACCAGGCATTTTCATATACAACAAATTCCAGCTTTTGAAATGATTACACATGAAAGATGAAAAGTGCCACACAATTGAAGATTAATAACAAAGTATAACAGAGGCCTTTAAAATACTGCAAAGGTTGAAACTTAAAAAGAGGTAATACTTGGAAAAATGCTAAGAGCTATATGAAGATTCCTTCAAGTTATGTTTGGGGGACAAGAAAAAAGGAATGGGTTCAAAGTTTGAGGTAGAGGCCAGGTGCAGTGACTCATGCCGGTAATTCCAGAACTGTGGGAGGCCGAGGCAGGATAACTGGCTCAAGGCCAGGAGGATGGGACCAGCCTGGGCAAGAGAGCAAGATCTAGTCTCTTCAAAAAATAAAAATAAAAATAAAAAAGAGCCGGGCATGGTAGCACACACCTGTAGTCTCAGCTATTCAGGAGGCTGAGGCAGGAGGATTGCTTAAGTCCAGGAGTTCAGGGTTAAAGTGAGCTATGATCGCACTACTGCACTCTAGCCTGGACAACAGAAGGAGATCCTGAGTCAAAAAAACCAAAAAAACAAAAAAACAAAAAAACAAGTTTGACGTAGGTGCTCTATTATTAACCAGTGATAGTGGGACAGCAGAACTCTTAGCTACTTACTATTGCATAATAGACAATAATCTGAAATGTAGAATTAGAACAAGGTTCACAAGAACTGAAGTTTAAAAAAGATAAACAAAAAGTAACATAGCAAATAACTGCCTTAGTGAGTTAAAGCCTCCACCCAAACAGGTAAACTGGAAAGGCCTGTAGTTTAACTGGTACAGTTGGCTCTGTGCTTCCATGGGTTCTGTATCTGTGGATTCAACTAAAAGTGGACTGAAAATATTTCAGGAAAAAAAAATTGCACCTGTACTGAACATATACAGACTGTTTTTTTTCTTATTGTTCTCTAAACACTATAGTATTAACAATTATTTGCATGGCATTTACCCTGTATTAGCTATAAGTAATCTAGACATGATTTAAAGTATATGGACGGATGTGTCTAAGTTATATGTAAATACCACACCATTTTATATACGGAACTTGAGCATTTGTGAATTTTGGTATCTGAGGGAAGTCTTGAAACCAATCCCCCATGGATACCAGGGGACAACTGTACTTACTTACAAATCTATAAGAAATCATGGAAAAAAGATAAAAGTGCCAGAAGATTGCAGGTGAACAAAGGGTATCTACTGGGAGAAAAAACTAAATGGTTTTCTGTTGGAAAAATTCTAGAACAGATTGTTAAAGAACGTTCTGAACACCTAGATAGAAAAGTTGTGATCCCAAGGAAACAGCGAATCTTTGCCAGAAATTATACATGTCAAACTAGAATTCTCACAAGTAGGATGCAAGTTCCATCAGGACAGGAAACTTATTCTGTGTTGTTCATCTGCTATCTCTGGTATTTAAAACAGACGCTAGCACACACAAAGCTTCAACAAACGCTATTTCCTTTTATGATAGGATTACTAGGCTGGTATGTTATAATAAAACCACGGCAAGAATAGACACTAACAGGAGCTAACACATTTGATAAAATCTCATGTAGCTCCAACAACATGACTGAGAAATTTCAGCTGGAGTAGAAGACACCCAGGTAGGGTTTTTTTTTTTTTTTTTTTTTTTTGAGATGGAGTCTTGCTCTGTCACCCAGGCTGAAGTGCAGTGGTGCGATCTCAGCTCACTGCAAGCTCCGCCTCCCAGGTACAAGCAATTCTCCTGTCTCAGCCTTCTGAGTAGCTGGGACTACAGGCACATGCCACCATGCCTGGCCAATTCTTGGTATTTTTAGTAGAGATGGGGCTTCACCGTGTTAGCCAGGATGGTCTTGATCTCCTGACCTCATGATCTGCCTGCCTCGGCCTCCCAAAGTGCTGGGATTACAGGCATGAGTCACCGCACCTGGCCATGCTATTCAACTTTTTAACCAAAAGACTAGAATAGGACCAACAGGGCAGAATTATCAAAACTGTAAATGATGTAAAACTGGAAGATTAGATGACACAGCATTCAATATTAGATGACAGAATTAGCAATCAAAAATTTCTAAGACTGGGCAGGGTGCAGGGGCTCACACTTGTAATTCCAGCACTTTGGGAGGCTGAGGCAGATGGATCACTTGAGTTCAGGAGTTTGAGACCAGCCTGGGCAATATGGTGAAAATTGCCCGTCTCTGAAAAATACAAAAGTTAGCCAGGTGTGGTAGCATGTGTCTATAGTACTTGAGAGGGTTAGGTGAGAGGATCACCTGAGCTCGGGAGGCAGAGATTGCAGTGAGCCGAGATCTTGCTGCTGCATTCCAGCCTGGATAATAGAGCAAGACTGTCTCAAAAAAAAAAAAAAAAAAAAAGCTTGGATGTAGTGGCTCACCCCTGTAATCCCAGCACTTTGAGAGGCCAAGGCAGGCAGATCGCTTAAAGTCAGGAGTTTGAGACCAGCCTGGCCAATATGGTGAAACCCTATCTTTACTAAAAATATGAAAATATGCCAGGCATGGTGGCGCAAGCCTGTAGTCCCAGCTACTTGGGAGGCTGAGGCAGAATTGCTTGAACCCGGGAGGCGGAGGCTACAGCGAGCCGAGATTGCACCACTGCACTCCAGCTTGGGCAACAGAGTGAGACTGTCACAACAACAACAACAACAAAAATTTCTAAGACTGAAAGTTAGTAAGAAAAACGTTATATTGAGAGATCCAAAGTCCTACATCGTGGGTTTAAAAAGTTAATTGTGAGAAGACTGGTTTAAACTGGGTTAGTTTATGTGGTAAAGGTCAAAGGACATCAGTTATTTACAAGTTCATTATCATTATCAAGAAAGCTAAAGCAATTTTGGTGGCATGAATGGAAACAGTGTCTTGAAAAGGGGAGATAAAGGTTGAACTATCTTCTGGCCTCACACAGGGTGACCATTTGTTTCATTCCCACATTTCCAGGATGTGGGACTTTCAATGGTACAACCAGGACAGTTCCAGGCAAATCAGGATGACTTGTTACCCTACTACCACATAATCTGAGGTAGTATCCCCAGAACAGAGCGACCAGGATATCCAAGAACTAAATCACTGGGATACACCATGAGAGAAATGGTTGAAGCAACTATGGCTCCTTGGTATGCCTTAGAGATAAACTAGAACGAAGGGTTCCATTGTGGAGAAAAGAGATGTCATTAGAACCAGGATTAGAATTATGCTGTGTAACTTTAAAAAGCAAAACTTTCCAGACTCCCAGAAGCAAAGTTAAAAAGGCGAAACTAAGACCAAAAGATAAAAGTTGGAGGAAGGAAATTTTGGTTCAATAAAGAGACTATTCTAGTAATTTGAGATACTTAGAAATGAAACTGCTTCCTTTTTCATTTCCTTTTTCTTTTTCAAGCCAGACTTTAGGTAGAAAGAAATTCCTTACTGTGTCAGAGAATACCCAATCACCAGTTATGTTAAAACAGAAATTATAAGAAATTAATACAGAAGAGGGAGCCCAACCTTGAATGTCTCTTTCAACTATATAAGCCTATGATCCTATGCACTTTTACTTACAGTTACAGAGGCATTTCTTATCTAACTACTAAATTTATGTCCACATGAAGTTTCTCACTGGCCTTTCGTTTTTTATTTTGTTTTATTTGCTTTCTACTGGGAGGTAGGCAAAATAGAGTTAAACACCAACTCAGTGATCTTATCTCGAACTATAAATGTCAGCTCTTCAAACTGCCCCTTAACAATTCTAAGGAAGGGGAAATGACAGAAGAAACCAAATAAAAACACACCCTTAAACATAAAGCTGTAGAACAGGTGAAGGTTATAAATACTCACCCATGCCAGATTTACCATCTGGGTATGTGTAGACTTGGCCATTGTTTTTGATAATCGGGAGATTAGAAGGTAAAGGAGCGACTTCTTCCTCACTCTCTTCGGAGCTGGAGCTGCTGCTTGTGTCCTCACTGCAGCTATCATAACCGTCAAACATCCCGAAAGAATCTCTTCTTTTCCTTTCAGATCGTGAAGAATGTTCAGTCTTTGAAGTAGAGAAACCAGTGACACATGACACAGCACTCACATACACCCGCTAAAAGACCCTAGCACAAATTCTGGTAAATGAGATTTGATAAATGAAAACGTAGCCCTGAGAAATAACCATTTTCTTCTTTTTTTTTTTTTTTTAATGTTTTGAGACAGAGTCTCACTCTGTCACCCAGGCTGGAGTGCACTGGCACAATCTTGGGTCACTGCAACCTCAACCTCCCGCACTCAGAAGATCCTCCCACCTTTGCCTCCTGAGTAGCTAGGACTACAGGCAAGTGCCACGATGCCAGAAACATTTTTGTGGTTTTTTTTTGTAGAGATGGGGTTTTGCCATGTTGCCCAGGCTGGTCTTTTATGCTTCGTCTCAAGCAATCTGCCCACCCCAGCCTCCTAAATGCTCGCATTATGGATGTGAGCCCCCTCCCCTGCCGCAAAGGATGTCCTGCCTCTGCATCCCAAAGCACTGGGATGATAGATGTGAGCCACTGTGCCTTGCCCAGATTTCTTTTTTCTTTTTAATTATGGGATGAGCATGGTGGCTCATGCCTATAATCCCAGCACTTTTTTTTTTTTTTTTTTTGACTGGGTCTCTCTATGTTGCCCAGGC